TGTCCCCCGCCTTCCGACCCGCCGCTCTGGCCCAGGCCGACCCCGCCCCCAGCCTCCAGCCGCACTGGCCAGGCCTGCGTCCGATTCCCACCCTTGGCCTGCCCCTTGGAAAGATGTGTATGGCCTCTCTGAGCCTCGGTGTCTTCGTTTGGAAAACGAGTTGTGAAGATTACCGTATTGAAGGGTGAAAAGCACCTAGCACACAGGCTGCCATCTAGCAAGAGCTCAGTACATGCTGGCCTCTGAAATTGCCGTTGTTATCTGTATTGCTAGTGTTAGCTCCAGCCGTCACCTCTGCAGAGTGCATTTCAAGTCCATCAGCTCCTTTCACCCACATGGCAGATGCAGAGACGAAAACTGAGGTCCCCAGTTTACATATGAAGAAGCTGAGAGGGGAGGTGACATACTTAGGGCCTTGCAGCTTCTGGCAGGATGTAATCTGTGGCCCTCACCTTCATCTCCCCACTCCCGTCTGCTGGACCCTGAGCCAGAGCCAGCTTTTGCCTCATTGCCTTTCCTCTCAGGGAAGTAACAGATGTCTTGCATCTCCCCCCTCCCCAGCCATGAAGAAGGTGACAGATCTTGTGGCTCCCATCTCCTTTTATTTTAGCGTTTCCTGAAATTATGTTAACGATAAAATGACTCAGCTTACTCCTGGTTGTCCGACTCTTGTCACCTAGCCCTAAGCCACTTGATTATGCTTTCAGATGTTGGGGGTTATTAGAACAAGATTTGGGGAAGCAAATCTTGCCAGTCACATCCATCTCTTTTCTCTGCCTTCTAGGCGCCCCTGGGAAATCCTGGTTAACAGGATCCAAGATTCGGCAAATGTCAGAAAGTTGGATAAATGAACAAATAATTTTATTTTCATTAGACCAACATTCCATGTGTTCAAAAACTACAAAGTTTTTGGCTGTCATACCATATGCATGAATATGTACTGCCAGATGTACGGTGCCTCTATTTTTGTAAATGTTTTGTTTGTTTTGTAAATTTGTTTTGGAATACCTGCTCTCTTGGCATTCCTAGAGCCACTTCTGTATTCCCAACAGGAAGAACTGTTAACTAACCTGCTGCTGAACATGTATTGATTTCCCCTCTGGTATCAAATCAGTCCTCTGAGAATTGAGTTTACAGTCCCTTTACCTGCAGTTTCTTGTTAGCCCCATACTGACAAGCAATTTTTTCCAAGGTTTTTAACCTTACTACTTTTTATTGTGCAGTTACAACAAAGACCTTTTAGACAAGGTGATGGAAATGGCTGATGGGATTGAAGTGGAAGACCTGCCACAATTTACTACCAGAAGTGAGTTAATGAAAAAGGTAAACAGGCTCTCCAAGTGCATTTGAAATGGTATAGAGTTGATAGTGATGCATTAGAATATATACTGTTTTCTGAATAGGGTGAACCTTTACTTCCTGCTTGTGGCAGATCCTCTCCTTGCTTTTTTGCTCCTAAAAGGTATTCTGCCCTCCCTGAGATCTTTCACATCAATTTTCTTTTGTAGTATACTTTCCTCTCTTGTTTGTAGCTGTATTTTGTCATACCAGGCTATTAGAGATCAGACCACTTCATGATAATTGGGTTGCAAAACCTAAGGAGAGGTTTTGCAATTGACACGCACATCCCTAACATAGGCCAGAGTGAAGTGTATGTGTGTGTTGGGGGGAAGGTCTCTCTAAACTGTTATATATTGTAAAGGGGTCTTGAGCATCAAAAATGTAGGGAACCCTGTCCTGGGATATCCATTTTTTTATGCTGTCATTGCACACGCTGAGCCTCCAGCGGTTCTCAACCTGTGGGTCGCGACCATCGGAAAACACATATAGCATATCAGATATTTACATTGCGATTCATAACAGTAGCAAAATTACAGGTATGAAGTAGCAACGAAAATAATTTTATGGTTGGGGGTCACCACAACATGAGGAACTGTATTAAAGGGTCGCGGCTTTAGGAAGGTTGAGAACCACTGCTCCAGAGAATAGTTCTCAGGCACGAACCTGGCATCCTAGAAACCAGGTTTGCGGTCAAACTAATCCTTAGCATCTGGCTACCTGGAAGAAGCCTGCAGGGAGCCTCTACTTCTGTAGCACTTTTGGATTACGTGTGTTTCAATTTCCTTCAATACTTATTTTTCTTTTTCTAAATTTTTTTAAAATTTTTATTGATTTCAGAGAGAAGTGGGGGAAGAGAGAGAAACATCAGTGATGAGAATCATCAATCGGCTGCCTCCTCCTGCACACTTCCTACTGGGGATTGAGCCTACAACCCGGGCATGTGTGCATGACAGACTTTGTGTTGAAGGCTGTCCCCTCTCCATTGAAGGCCACCTTGAGAGCCCACTGGGAAGAGCCTTCAGGGACTTTTGTCTCTTCCCTGAGGTGTTTGCATGTAGTAGATACTGGCAAACCTTAAGCAACATTGCCAGCCCAGAACAAAAGAAAACCTTGATGTTGAGCCATGCACCTGAAAACATGTTGTAGTTCTGCCCATAATTGACCCCTACCTCTAAAATTAGAGTTTAGTTGAGTCTTATGGCTAGCTAGCAGGTGGAAATGAATCGCCTGGCATTGTTGATATCTTAGGACTTAGTGAAGATGACTTAGGGACATAAGCTCTTTAAAGTAAGACTTTAAAAACACTTATGGTCCTGGCCGGTTTGGCTCAGTGGTTAGAGTGTCTGGTCTACTGATGGTACTTGTCCAACAGTTGCAGTGTATGGTTTTTCTTTAGAAAGAGGGAGGTTCAAACACAAATATATGGAGTGAACAACATTTATCTAACAATCATCCCCAGGCACCTACTGGCAGCTTTTGTGGTTGACCAGCTTTATCCATTAATAAGCAATAATTAACAAATTTGCAGCAGCTTACTCAGAAAGGGTGTCATTACTATGACTGTCAGAATTAATATTTCCAATGCATTGTCTTAAGGAGAAAGAGGAGTGATTGACTAGGAAGCTGTCATTATTGACTAAAAGAAAGAATTTGTCATTGTAATTATTGTCCATTTCCCCTGAAAACATTTTTATCCATGAGGGAAAATGGCAGAATGGAAAGTGAAGGAGAAGTTAGAAAAATAAGTGTATCTGCGTTTCAAGAGGTTCTTTTTTTGTGCATTATGTACAGTCTTGGCAAGCTGTAGGGTAATGGAGCAGCCACTTGGTGGAAGGAGATAGGATTCTAAGGTGGTGAGTATTTGTATTTAAAAAAAAAAAAAAAGCAGCCTGTCAGATTAGTTAAATCAGTTTTGTCTTGCATCCCCAAGATAAATGCTCAGTGGAGCTACCTTTTCCCCTTTATCTGCTAAAAGCAGCCAGAAAAGCTCTGTCTGACCCCATAGGCCAGTCTGTTGCCTGGGGCCCAGGATGAGTGGATCACGTATCAACACTTTGTGTCAAAGACCAGACTTGCAGCAACCAAAGCCAGCGGCAACTGTTGTGCTGTTGTCTTATCAGAAATCTGAGAGACAATTTAGAGAATAATCTCCTTCCCTTTGAAGATGGTTTCTTTAGGTGATATTGCATTCTCCTAAAAGGAGAAAGACTTCTTATACTTTTTGTTTTTGGTGAGGAATTTTGCTGCTTTTAAATTACTCAAAAAGACTGATGCAATAGGCTTAGCTAGGATATAGGTCATACCTTGAAAACTCTGATTACTAAAAAGACTCTCAGATTGATTCATTCACACTGCTAAATGTTAAGGAAATCCATTCAAATACAAGGTGACAGCCAAAATGATTTCTTCACACCTTCCTTAAAAGTTGTCTAAAGCCAT